TGTGTGTGTGTGTGTGTGTGTGTGTGTGTGACTCACCGTTGTCATAGTAAGCCAGCTTCATGTTGAGACACACGTTGTCTGGTAGCGGACCCAGGTTCTGCATCAGCGTGTAGAGCTTCCTCACCAGTAGGATGCTCGCCTTCTTCGTGCCTCCAGACGACATCGACAACATGTTGTTGTTGTTGCTGATTTAAAAAAAAAAAGTCCAAATGGAGTTAGCGTTGATGCTAAAGACCCAAAACATACCTTAAAGGGTTGTTCCTGCTTTTTGCAGCATGTTGCGTTTCAGCCGTTGCATTTGTTTTTAGACGTTTGCATTAAAAGTGTTTCTGAATTTGCTGCTCGTTTCTCTTCATGTGAGTCGTTTCAGCCGTTGCCGAGCACTTGCAACCATCGGCCATCGTGCTAAAGCTTTGGGATCTGTGAAGAACTTTAAAGTTTTTATAGACATTTTTGGGGTATTTTTGTCTTTATTGGATAGGACAGCTGAAGAGAGACAGGAAACATTGGGAGGAGAGAGAGTGGGGGATGACATGCAGCAAGGGGCCGAGGTCGGATTTGAACCCACGGCCGCTGAAACGAGGACTAAAGCCTGCATACATGGGGCGCAAAGTTTTAAAGTAACGTTTTAAAGAACGTAAAGCACTTTGAGCTACTTTTGTATAAAAAGTATTAAACATAACTCTGTGTGATGAGGCCCTTATGAAGCTATAAAGCTGTTGTTTGTTTCCTGTCTCGATTTCTGAGGTTTGCATTTTGAACTTCAGCTCCTGAGCGTCAAATTTAAACATCCTCACCTTTCAAAGTCCATCTGAGCTCCTTCTACGTTGTACATGATCCTAAACTGGTAAAACTCAGTCACTTTCTGGAAGACAAGATGACACAGCTGCTGTGTTTCAGACGGATCATCGAAGCAGCTGGTTGTGTTTTAAAAAACTGTGACACTAAACGAAAAGCAGGAAGAAAACTGGACATTACCTCCGGGTTCTGCTGGTCGGTGTAGATCTAAAACATAGACAAATGAAGTAAACATTAGCAGCATGAATATTTCTCTCAGACGACTCGATTCTGCACGCCAAAAAGACAACACGTAAGAAGTAGAAGATGTAAAATACTCACAGACATAATAACTGTCCGCAGCTAGAGGGAGAAAAATGACATCATTAACTGTAAGGAGGGGAAGATTACGCAGAAGGTCAAACAGGAAAACATTTTCTGACTGATGGACGAGGTTGACTTACATACTTATTCTGGATGGCCTCAAAGCATCCCTGCATCCTGGAAGTAAAATCAGTTCACAAGGTGTGATTGAGCATGACGTGATAATTTATCAGTCGACCAATCAAGTGTGATTTACAGAGCCCTAATGAAAAAGTACATATCTCAGGACTTAGGGTCGGTCAAAAGCAGACTCTTTATTTAAAGATACCCAACATAATGTCAATTCTTGACCCTTTGCTGGCTCTCTGATTTGTCTGGTGACCCACCAATCAGAGCTTCCTCTCATAGCAACCGTTGCTGTGCTACTTCCGATTAGACAAACTTTCTCCTGGCCTGAAGTCTTTTCAGTGTGTCGTGGTGAAATTGTGACCTCAATTTAGTTTCTAAACATGGTTAAAAGGAGCTTGAGGCATCTGAAGGAGTCACTTTAACTATCGACACCGTACTCTGTAGCATTAAGCTTTAAGTGATGTCGCTGTGATTGTCAAATTGCGCAAAATGATTGTCAATTGTGCTTAAGCGCGGTACAGGACAACTTTGTCTCATATGAGTGCGCCCTAAAATTATTTTTCAGACCCACAGAAACGGTAACTGATGTAGTCCAGAGGTGAGACGGCGAGCAGCCACGAGGAGGACAGCTAACGTAAGCCGACATAACAAGCGTAAGACATCGATCATATTCAAAATTATTTTAACACGATTTTTGAGATTTCAAGTTGATCTCATACACGCTACTGTATCTCTGACTTCACAAGGAAGTGTTTTCAAGGGGTAGGAAACCATGATTAATCATCAGCAGCTGTTTTTCAACCAACTGTCTCTGCTGCTGTTACAGACACAAACTCTGTTACCACCTCAGTTGTAACGGCCACCCCAAAAAACCAACGCTGACAAATAGGCCCCCAGATTCCTCTATATTCAAACCAGCAACGGTTCAGTAAGACATAAAAACACAGCTTGTTTCCTAAACACAAAAGGCATGACACAATCAGGAAACTGTTTTCCAAGTGGAACTGATTCATGACTTCGGGGAGTAAGCGTTGTTCATATTTACCACTGGACTATCTGACTGGCCCCGGGACAGCTGCGCTCCTCTCTGAGGATCATCACTTTCTGATCTGTGGGAGGAAAAGCAGGGAGGGAAGAATCTCCTCCTCAAGAATTTCCAAATAAAAATATCGACCTTGATAGCACACCGTTCCATGTGTTATCTAACCTTCAACATATTTGCTCCCATAGGCTTTCTCTGGGAAAAGCCCCCGGAGGTACGTGATGCCAGACACTGCGATGGCCAGAAGCTTCTTCATAACAACCAAGGACTGTTGCTCCGACAGAACCTGATTGGGCAACAGCTGAGTATCCTGCAAGAGAGACACAAATAAATCACATATACTGCGGTCTGCTTACTCGTAACAGCTAACACAAACAAGATTAATCAGCAATCTGTGTTTCATTCAGGCTTTCAATATTCTATTGAGAATCAAGAACCAGAATCAGCCTCTAGTGGACACTCGAGATTGGCTTCATTGTACAAGACCGGAGGTTGGCGCTTACAGGTTATTAATATTAATATCATATTCTTCTGAGTTAATGCAGTGGACTCTGGGATGTCTTAAACTTGCTTCAATAAATACAGAAACCATAAAATGTAAGTTAGTCCTGGTGTTTCGGAGCAACAATTAGATGGTGATTGCCTGCGAGTAAGGCTACACACCTGTATCTAATGATGAATAATTGATGGGCATTAATGTTGAATAGTACGGTACAGTACATCCAAAATATACTGAATGTGTAATGCCCTACCTGGTAACTACAATTACTAAAAACAGTGAACATGTGCACAGCGTAGAAAAGTTAAAACTGTGTTATTTTTTACTTGTCTATAAATTGACCCCCAAACCACAAAAAAATAGGACGGAAGCCAAGGAGCACAAATTCTTGGGGTGATCTTTGATTTGTATTTCATGTGAGGAGCGCCACAAAAACAGCATTTCATCACCTGAAAGACATCGCCAAAGTAAGACCATTTCTCTCTCTGAGCCAAACAGAGGGACTAATGCACACTTTCAAAACGCTCTCCTTCCTGGTCAATCTAAAAACACAATAAACCAGCTACAACAAGAGGCTGCTGCGTTTTCAATTAATTCAATAATAACATTATTGTATTGTCTTTTACTTTACTTTAAGTGTTTTTTGTGTGTATGAATGCTTATTGGTTTGACTATTTTTATCTTCTTTTACTTCTTACTGTTCTTTTATTTATGCTCTTATCTCGTATTTATGCTCATATCTTAAATCCTCTTATGTTTTAACTTGGTAATTTCTTATCTTACTTAGTCTATTTATGTTTCATATTTATATTTACTTTTTATTTTTATGAATATTATAGTTTTGGGTTTTTTGATCCTTTAACCACTTGTTTCTATTTCTTTTACTGCTCTTACCTTCTTATTGCTGTTATCTTTTTATTTGCTTTCAGCTCTTTTAGTTTCTTACATCTTTTTAAATCTTTGGTCCTCTTGGTGTCATCTCGTGTTGTTGGGTTCTTATAATGGTTCTTGTGATGGTCGGGTTATATATGTCTGTTGGGTATCGTGCACTTTGGGTTCTTTTCTGTTGAATTGTATTTAATTATTTTTAGTATTTTGCATTTGTTATGTTCTTGCTGTTGTTAATGTTCTTCTGTGTTTGGTTTAGTTTGTTCTTGTTTTTGCTGTTTGTCAAAGCACTTTGTAAACCTGTGTTTTTAAAAGGTGCTATATAAATAAAGTTATTATTATTATTATTATTATTATTATTATTAATATTATCTTATAGCTTTTATTTCTTGTATGTTGCTAATTTTGCCATCAATCTCAATTTTATTTTATTATTGTTTTATTAAATTCTTATTGTTGTGCATTAATCTCTTATCTTAATTGTAAAAGCATTTTGAACTGCAGTTGAATTTGTCTAAAGTTATAAAGTTTGATTGATTGAAGTTAACAAGCTAGTTGTGTTTCAAACATCATTAAAAACACTGAATCAACATTAACTAACCGGTCAGGTGTGGCTTTACCTGAGAGTTCCTCACTTTCTGCACACACGCCATCGCTTCCATGAGAGACAGAAATCTGCAAAACAAAGAGATAGTTTGTGTAAGAAAAGCTTAAGAGTTTAATAATTTAGTTAAAATTCAGTCAAACTTAGATAGCTTATTATTAATTTCCACCTACTACAACTGTTTATGTATCTAAAATTAAACTACTAACTACCTGTGCCTGCTACCAATGACTTTGTACTTACTTGGCAACTAGAAAATTATTTTAAAAATACAATTAAAAAACGATAATCGATTATTTAAATGTCCCCTAGTGGTAAGTTAACGAGGCGTAACGCGTTCCCGCCGATCGTTTGATTGGTAGGCGGGTCCACCGTCAACAAGTAGCCAATCACAGAGCAGAGAGCTTCTCCAAAGTGTACACCAAATGCTTTGTTAAACTACTGTTACTGAATAACTTTATTGATTTTAACGCACTACTTAAAAGCCAGCAAGGCGCGTCAAAGATATATCTTCTCTGTTGTCCATGTTCGTTTTGTTGATGCAGTGCGCACCCCCCCCCCCCCCTCCGCATCGCCCCCAGTTTCCATAAACTAATACGATTGGAGCAGGGAGCTGTCAATCACAGAGCGAACGTCTGCGGTTTAAATTCCATTGGTTCCAAGTGAGCCACTGCCGCTCGCCCATTGGCTACTGTATATGTCAATCACACAGGGAGGAGGGGAGGGGAAGCTAACCGGGAATGATGTCACAACTCGTTACGCCATTTTTGTTGGGGAGCAGCAGTCGTGTCCAGAAAAGGAGGATTAGATTCAGCACAGGTACCTCTGTGTATTCATCTCTGTGAGCTGTCCGCAGAAAGGGACACTTGCGTCACTTTCACACACACATAATGTCGACGGAAAACCCGGACTCGGACACTCAGGCGGACTACGAGGACGAAAAACAGGTGTGTGTGTGTGTGTGTGTGTGTGTGTGTGTGTGTGTGTGTGTGTGTGTGTGTGTGTGTGTGTGTGTGTGTGTGTGTGTGTGTGTGTGTGTGTGTGTGTGTGTGTGTGTGTGTGTGTGTGTGTGTGTGTGTGTGTGTCGGTGTTGTTGGCTAACCACCTAGCTGGGAGAGGCTAACATCAGCTAGCTCAGGTAAACTGTGAGGGCTCAGGACTTCTGGAAGACACGCAGAGCTGCGACGAAGCTGTCTGTGTGTTAGTATCGGCTCTACGGGAGCTGCCCCCCCCCCCCCTCTTTACTGAGCACCGTGCCAGGTTGTCACTTTTGTTTTGTCCCTTGTCTTGTGTCATTGGCTGGCAGGTCCACAGGAGCTCGGGCCTCATTGGTGCGACCAGGAGGGTCTAAAAAAAAAAAAACGAGCCATGACAGGCCGAAAGTCAACACATACAGGCAATACTGTGAGAAACACTCTGATGTGTGTTTAACTCTTCGTGGCTGCTTTTGGGCTTTTCATGCCTCTCTCAGAAAGCTGCAGTGTGACAGTGGCAGGTCCGCATTTTCCACACTACGACAGAGGTGTGCACAGGTAAACACCAGGATCAATGCTTTATCAAACATCCACTGAAGGGCTGCACAATACATTGCCAAAAAAAATAAATAAATAAATAAATAGTTATCTGTTATATGAGCATTTGCAACAAAAAAAAACGTCGCAAAAAACTCAGTTTATCGCGATGTAGTACAAAATGATTTTATGTAAACAAAGTTTTGCAGAGACGATTAGGCTGAAGCATCCTTACATTTCATCTCTGCACCCCTGAAATATCAGCTGCAAATGCCTCTTGGGTATTTTGTAAATATCTTAATTTTATTTCCTATTTATTTATGTGAGTAAGGTGAGGTTTAAACGTTACTGTTTTTAAGTTATAAAATGTTTAACGATTAATCTATATCTCAAAATGTTATCCGAGTTCTGTAGTAGCTGGAGAGGCACTGATCCACTATTTTCAGTTCTGATGCCGATTCAGATATGTAGAATTTTATTACAATGTTTACACTAAAATATCTAAATTAATAAAAAAAATGAGTACTTGCATTACAGCAGACATTTCCAACAGATATAAAAAGCCAGAGAAATCCTTCATTTCGTATTTTTATAACAGGACATGTCTTGTCGTGGCAGCCGCCATGACAGACACTGCATGTTTGTCGTTGCCATGGAAACACCAGATGTTACATCAAAGACCGCTACATAAGGAAGCGTGAGCTGCTGTATTGTTGCTGTATGAGCTGCTGTGATATAAATGCATGTACGTTGTACTCGGCAGTAGCAGTAAGAACTCCCATGATTCCCAGCTTTACAGCTTCAAGGTCATCTTTTGTTATTGTATTGATGGAGAGCCCCCTGGTGGTGGAATCTACATACTGTGCCTTTAATAGCGTTATTGTTGTTGGTATTATATGTAATGATACTCAAAGCGATGCATAAAATTTTAAATGATATCAAACAAAAGTATCTGAACTTTGTGCTGGCTGCACATACAAACAGGAAGCGACAACACCTGTCAGGTTTTCAGATTACACTGATTTGTAAAAGGTTTGATCACATCTGAACGTCGTCATGGAGACGATTTGTGGACACTTCTTACAGTTCAGTCAGAATGTCTTGTGAGTGAGACTGTGTGAGTTGAGAAAGTGCCCAACCATCTTTTCTTGATCAATGATGTGGACATTGTTGCCGTGGTATAGAAACAGATATTGATTTGATTTTTACAAGTATTGTTTGAATATTAAAAATCTGGTGTGGTGACGACCCAAATACATGCTGTGACACTGGAATGGCAAAGTTGTAATTTAGGGCTCTTATGCAGAAAACTCCTGATATTTGCAGGAGGAGCGTCATGTGTGAACTCAAACAGCTGAAAGTTTCTCTCTTCACCCGGAGTTTCTCCTCCAGCCTCCTCGTATTTATTCTGCAGAAAGTCAGAGTGAGCTGGTGTGAGAACGCAGCAGGATGTAATCAGGAGAATTCACCTGGAGCGAGTGGGAGGAGGTGGTGACGTTTAGTCCCTGTGATCGCTGCACGACCATTTTCAGGAGTGCATGTGTGAAAACGGCTTGAGACACTTTCTTTTATTCTGAAAATGTGTCCAGAAACTTAACAAAGTTGCGAGCTGTTACGAGCTGCTTTTATTCTCTCCGTCACTGCTCCTCTTCTTTCTTGTAGGGCTTTCACACTTGCAGAAAAGCTCCTGATATATTCAGGACAAGCTGTATGTGTGAACGCAAACAGCTGAATTTTTCATTAGGATTCTACCCAGTATCTTTCTTGCCAGTCCCCTAGCACATTTTCCACTTGAAGTACAACAGCAGGAAATATTCATGAAACGTCACTGTGAGCGAGTCGGGGATGCTGACATTTATATTCTACGACTGGCCGACGACCATAGACTGTGTAGCGTGCAATTTGTGCCATCTCTGTGCATTTAATGAAAGTGCTTTATGTTTCAGCTCGCAAGTCCGTTGTGTTGATACTGTGAATACCTCAAACTACACATCACATTGTTGCTCGTCCACCATTTTTAATGTCATGTCTTGCAGTCTGAAATCACCCCGCCTCCTGTCCGACGGGGATATTCTCCCGCTGTGAGGTGCATTTGTGGATAAGCAACTCAGGAAGATTTCAGAAGCAGCCTGTCTGAAATTTTCTAGATTTTTTTTAGGACTGCTTTCGTGTTCTGGTTTGGGATTCTGCAGCAGCTCTGCATCGGGGTCAAATATAGTAGCTCATAAATTTCTCGTCATTGGCGCAAGTGAATCAGCACACTCGGTGCTTCCTGCCCTCCCTTCTCCTGAGGGGATCAGTTCATTGGCTTCGGTGTCCCGAGTCACATTTTAGCCCCGTCCTGGCAAACTCTCAGGGCCGAGCGCTCCATGATGTTTGCTCCGTGTGCCGGTGAATGTGCAGGCGGCGTGCTTCAGCTTCTACTTTATTTTACACCAGCTATATACCATCAAAACACCAAACTCTGCTCACAAACAAGGTGTTTGTGTGACCTGAATTACTGGCCTCCTTTTTCACCTGACAGGGACCTGAATGACGACTACCTGACCAGTTTGGCTTGTGGTAGTCACAGGCAGCAACAACAAATACCTCTATTGTCTACACAAGTCGCTACCTCAAGCTCTTGTGAGTCCGCACTGGTGTCATAAGAGCCAGAAAGCTTTGTCAACGTGTTATTTCTTGACCCCGATTGTTTTAGACTTTGTCACAACATGCAGATAAGCGACCTAAGGATGTGTATGAAAAGCAAGCCGAGAACGTAACTGTGAAAGACTGCTTAAGTATAACCTCCACAGGACACAGAAACAAACATTTCTTATGTCAAGTTAAAGGAAAACATGTGATTTCATTATTTAACTTTAATGTTCGGCCTGATTGGGATGTTTAGGACGTTTCACTGTAAGCAGAAACTGTTGTCTTGCAGTCGTATTCAAAATCGTGGTCAGGCTTAAAAAACACAGATATGAAGAAAGAAACCAAGACATGAAGCGAGATCAAACATTACAAATATTTAAGAACCAGTTTGATGTATTTATAGGCCTTAGAACTAAAGTATCTTCAAGTATACACATTATTTAACCACTCCAGTGTGTCATTGTAGGTATTTTTTAATAATCATGATCAGAACAACACAAAAGAAAAAGGTGATTCATTTGTCCTCATTTCCAAATTTTATACGACCTGTTGTGACCTCTTTCATGGTTTTAAATCTGCCGTCTTTTTGGACCTTTTCAGCTTTAAACCTCGGGGTCCTCGTTTAGTTTGCCGTCACATCAGGATCAGTGCCATATAAGCGTTTTAGGGCTTGTTTTTTAAGGTCTGTTTGTTCCAAGCTTTGTCCTCCTCTTTGAGTTATTTCCTCTCAGGCATGATGGGGATAAGAGGCACTGTAACAGAAGAACAATCGGGCTCTGACTCATGCTATCATAAAGTATCTCCTGTTCCCACTAGTCATTGTCATAGTTCTGAAAGCCCTATTCACAGCAGTGCAGTTTTAGTAGTTTTAAAGCGGCCCTGTTTACCCCGGGGAATGTTTTTTCTGGAATTTGGGTGTTTTTGCACCAGCAGCATTTTTGGAATCGTAGGCTGACCGTAAATGATTGCCTGTCACAGAAGCAGCTGAAGATGTATATGCTCACACTTTAAAAGATCCTGTTCTTCTGGAGAGATGTGTTTATGTCCGTTTGTTTTTTGTCTCAACAGGACTCACAGGAGAAGAATGCAAACCCGGCAAAGGCAGAGGAGGCAAAGCTGAAGGCCAAGTACCCCGGCCTTAATCACAAGCCAGGCGGATCAGAATTCCTGATGAAGAGACTACAGAAAGGGGTAGGTGACCATGAGTACGACATGGTTACAGATGAAAACCACAGGAATGTTTCTTTTAGCAAACCCAACAATCCCTCTCCTGCAGTGCTAATTTAGTCCTAGTCAGTTTCAGTCACATTTTTTACTCTTTCTAGTTTTAGTCCACAAAGCTCAAAGCATTTTAGATCACTACTCAATAAAAAGTCAGGCATCAGAAATGTAAATTCAGGCGACCGGTTGTTTAAGGGTGCATTCACACTAGGTAAAGCATGTTTGACCCCCAGAGTCCAGTTCGTGTGACTAGCTCCTTTCCGTGCTCAAGCGGGCTACACTTCCTCGGCCCTGGCAAGCTTAGAGGAGGTGTGCTTCAGCGTGATGCAGTTCATGCACGAGCACAAGCGCGAGTACACAACGTGGACAGCCTTATTATGGAGAAACCCTGGAGTGTTCTGTCTGTATCTGACTAACATGACTCAGGATAAGAAACAAAGTCAGAACAGTAGCTGTCATGCTCTCTGTGCTGTTCTCTGATGTGCTGACGCAGCCTCGACCATGCATCCCTTTTTTTTTCTTGGAGTCCGTCTGTCTTGAAAACAAAGTACGCTTCATGGCCATGTAAAGCTATGCATGTGTTGTATTACGACGTTATGTACAAGAGGTAACGTGCTCAGGCCCGGTTAGTTCGGTTTGTTAATGCAGCCTCTTGGGTAGCTTGTCATATAGCACTTGTTTAATTTTGTTCTACCTGTTATTTAAACAGCCGGTCAGGGCTCACAAAGATATGACTCTCAAACGAGTTTTTCTTCTGTGAAAACTGTTTCTCTCTGCGCCTACACATGCTGCATTTGTTATCGAGAACTTCTACCTCTGGAGATTGTGGAAAGTCTTTCTGGGAAATCACTGATGAGGAGTAGGAGTAGCTGAGGCAGGCAGAGGGGGAACGGCAAAAAGTAAATTGCAGCACTTAATCATCACATAACTCCCAGAATGAACATCATCAGAGAGCGGGCGATATCTGAGAATCTGAGGCTGGAGTCTATCTTTGTTTTCTTTGTGTGGTGATTTGATTCTGCACAATGCAACGTTCAACATCATTCAGATATTTATTAAGTGAATCCCAGTTCTGTGCAGATATACACTTCAGGGAATTTCACAATAAAATGACTTAAATGTGTAACCAAAGGAACACTGTTGACCTTTAAAGCCTGAAAAGTTGATGTAAGCAGATAAGAAATGAATGTTTTCTTAGCACCTGTCAGCACCTTTTTTATCTCTTTTCTTACACAGCAAAAGTACTTTGACTCGGGCGACTACAACATGGCCAAAGCCAAGATGAAGAACAAGCAGCTTCCTGTGGCGGGGCCCGACAAGAACCTGGTGACCGGCGACCACATTCCCACGCCGCAGGACCTACCCCAGAGGAAGTCGTCCTTGGTGACCAGCAAGCTAGCCGGCTAGCCTCCACCGTTCGAGACGCACTCTCACCCCCTGGGGCTCCCGGCAACCGTCCCTCCTCCCCCACCTCACCCATGTCCCCAATATTGTCCACCCCTCTGTCCACCCTCTCTTCCTTTTATGTCCCCAGGCACCACTGGCTTTACCACGTCGGGCAGAGTTGTATAAGTTTAAAAACTCCATTTTTGCTGGTATGTGGGCGGGGCCGGGTGGGAGGGAGCGATGAAGGTTCAGGCGATCCCACGAGGTCACAGCCTTCTCTGCCTTCCCACCACGCACAGCTCTGCCCCCTCTGCGCACTCTGCTCTGCCGCCTCCCTTATATCTTGGTTTTCTGTGTTCCAAGATGCATCACAGTAGGTGTGTGTCATCAGGCAGGGGTTGGATGGGGTGAGTTAATGCACTTTGTAGTCTGTATAGTATGCCTTTGTTCTTTTTTTTTTGCATCCTAAATGACACCAAAATGATGTGAGTAAGGGAGTTAGGAACCAGAATCGCAGCACGCTCTTTGGTTTTTGTTGTTCATGCTGGCGGCGGCGGCTGGCTTCGGTTGGAAGTTGTACATTAATAATTGCTTGCATACCAAATCTGTGAGTGGGCAGCTGCCTAGCTTAAGTACTTTATTATTCACTGACACCGTATTGGGAAATTGGGGAAGCAAATTGATGCTTCCTTTTGTGTCAACCTTCGGTCACTTTACGTCGAACAAAATCCGAGGTCACCTGCTGCAGCTCAGCCAAACAGGGATTTATAAAAAAAAAAAACGTTTTCATCTCTTCGCTCACATTGCTTTAATTCTCAACCTGTTCTTTCCAAATATGCTGCACGATTGTAACAAAAGAGAAATTTTAAATTTAAAAACAGGAGCAGGGCGGGGCTTCTGCCTTGTGCTCCAAAGAATCGAAACTAAACACACTAGCCCTGAGACTGTCCCCGTCATACCTTCCTTCCCTCCTTTCCTGTTTGCTGTCCTGACAATCCACATGTAAACACACACACGCTCCAGCTGAGCGGCCGCAAAGCGAGAGCCAGCCAAGTATATCCTCATGGTCCTTTTTAATGGCTGGGAAGCCTGCCAACGTCTGCGTTCAGTCCTCTGTTGAGTTGCATCAAGACGTGTGTTTACTATGAGCCTAAAAGATTAGCGGGGAGCTTGATCTCTCTGCATAGAGTATATATGCTTCTGTAAATACAACCCGTAAAGCACGTGACTCGTGGTAAGCTTGGCGCTTTCAGGCACAGACCGGCTGACACGCCTAAGAGAGATTGTAGTGCTAAATACACTCCCTTGAGGTTTTTTTTTTTTTTTTTTTTTTGCCGTGAAAGTTCGCTGCAGACACTGGACTCGGAGAGCGTGATTAGAGTTGTCTTTTCATTATAATGTGATGATGAAACCTGGAACCCAAGCTGCTCCATCTCCGAGTGTTTTTGACCCTCGGTTCAGATACTTCTCCCGTCAGATTTGAAACAGATCCAGGCACCGCTAAAGGTTAGCCTTCAAGTATCACATGTTGATCGCTCCATCCACTTAAAGACTAAAGTAACCACAGACGTTGCCTTTAAGGACGCTCCGGCAATTTAGTGAATGTTTTTACAAATTTTGGGCTTTCCAAAATGTTTTCTCTTATTTTAGCTGCTTGTCAAAGATACACGAGAACCCTCTTTACTCTCTCTGGTCGGGTTCTCGTTCATCTCGATATTGTTATTAATACACTTTGCAAGACGTTAGCTTTAACACAAGAATATTTTAGTTCCCTTAAATCCTAAGCTTGAGTATGGACGTACTCCTGCGAGCAGCACCATCCTAGGAAAACATTTTTTCCTTCCCAAACTGACACAGGCTGATCTTTGATCTCAGGGGTGTCAGAGGGTCAACAGCAGGCAACTTGATAACCACAAGCGTCGGCCCAGATCCCAAGCTCGCCATCAGAGGCCTAAAGTTAGAACTGCGTGCCTGCAGAGTACGCTCACTGCAACCCTTGGCATAACAGCGAGAGATTTTATAACACATGGTTAGTGAAATTAAGCTCTTGAGTCACACCTTATCTTACCTTTCCTCTGGAAGAGGTGTTCTTTGCTTTCAACACTTTGAACCAATGCGTTCAAGAATCTGAACTGGAGATCCTCCTTGTATGATAACGCTTCAGGGAACCTTCACAGGCGCACACTCCACCATGTAGGCTAAGTGATAGGGTGCAGGCAGCATCACATTCTCCGACTCACTTTGTCATTGAGACTTTAAAAAAAAAAAAAACGTGTCAAATTTGAAGCGGGTGAAAGAGAACTGACCTTACCTGCGTGTGCTCGTTTTGGTGTATGAATGAATGCTTTTTTCTCTGTTCCAGCCGATGTAAATAGAGTTCGACAGGAAGAGACTTTTCAGTTTTTTCTCCTGGCTGCTTTTCACTCCTTCACATCCCAAGCTATTTTCTGATTCTATGGTTCCTCTCTCCTTTCAGTTTAACACTACTTCTGCTCTTATCTAAGGGAAGTGCGGAGGCTATGTGAATCTGTATCATATGAACATATGTGTAAATGCTGCTGATTCAAAGACAAATCTAAGAGATGATACCATGTAAAGAACACCTGTCCTCTTCACCTCTCTTAATTTGGACGTAAACGCTGCCACGTTGTTGAACTTGATTCAGCTTTTAGTCCGGCGGAGCTCAAAAGAACAGTCTGGAAGGCTCTGTCGCTTTAAATGACACCAAACGGCCATTTAGCGTCACGCTCTGTTGTAAACCCGACAGTGTCCTCCTGCTTGTTAAGAAATAAATATTGCTAAAAGAGATGATCGAATAAAGCAGCGACATGTTCTGTAAAACGACTGCGGACAGAACTTGATGTGTGGTTTGTGCACGGAGAGCGGTTCAACGAGCCGACACACACAGGGCGTCTCTCGTTCAGCTATGATAAACACGTGCCAGAATGTATAAAGAAAAGACAGGCTGTGTGCTCTGAAGTACTTTTGTGCTGCTTTTACCTGATCGGTTTTCTTGTTGGTTTTTGCAAATTAATGTTTCTTTTTTTTTTGTTTCTTGTGTTCTGTTATTGCATTATGAACATATATATGTATATATATATACATATATATGTTTATGTCATCCTGGCCCGAGATAACTGCAGGGAAATCAGAGGCACCCTTGCTTCCTAGAAAGTAAAAAAATAAAAATAAAAAAAATAAAAAAAAGGGTTTACATGATAAAAGAGGATGACTGGAAACACAGGAATGATTTTAAGACTTCAGAAAGTACACGAGTACTTGGAATGTTTCTGTTGTGTGGGAGTAGGTGAGAGGATTTTTGTCAGTATTTGAAATAAACTTTTACATTAATAACATTTACTGTTGGTTTTCATTGTTGTCCGATCTCTTATTATTTACAATCTGAAAGGGAGCAGTACCTCTCAGTGACCACTAGGGGGAAGCACAACACTTACCTCTGAACATTGCCCTCTCAAGGGAACGAGGGAGTTCTGGCTTTTTCCACACAAAAATGGAAACTTCTTTCATGTAGAGAGAAAACAGGAGTGTTTTGACAGGAACTCTGACAAGATACCCTGATGTCATAATACACGATAAAAAGCATCAGGTACAGTTTAAATATTGGAAGAAAACGACAAAGACTGCAAAAACTCAAATCTAAGCCAGTGTATTTTATCAAATTTCTTGTCAAAACAATCTCACTAGATTTATTATAAGCAACATTTACCTGACAAGTCCTCATAAACATTTTATTTTAAGATATAACCAGGGAACAATAAGGCTTTCATTGCTTGTTATGAGTTTTAAAAAAAAACACATTGAAAATAGGGCAAGCTCATTTTACTGGTTACGTTTCTTTGATGTGATGTCTTTATTTCAGTTTGCTTGTCCTATGTTCAACGTAGGAAAAGTAAATCAGCAATCAATCAGAATGTGAAACATCATATCATTTTACTTTTTTTTTTATGGCAGACCAGATCCTCCATTGTAAAAACTTTATGACGTTTTTGGTGTGAACTTTCAGGACAGGGAGATGGTAAACTTTTTTTTTTTTTTTTTACAATTTACTGCTTTAAATAAATTACACATGACATTTACAGTCACATTTGCTTTTATTTCATGTGTCGAAGACGGAAGTCCAAGTCCATTTATCAAAATAAAGGCGACAAGGGACCTTTTTACAGATGGCAACATAAATGCTGCTGAGCACTAAGTTCGCTTCTACTTTGAATTGAAACAGTTTTATGATATTAAAGGGACATCTGTCTTTGTTTTAACTCAACTCCTCAAAACAGAGCCTCGGGACAAAGAAAGGTCCTCACTTCAATAATTTATCTTCTGCTGTATCCAGTGCGAAAAAGTACACACACAAACAAACAAACACAAAACAAAAACAAAACAATTGGAAAACTCAGAAGGCAAACGTAACTTGGCGCCGGTTGCAGCACGTGCATGCGCCCCTTTTAACTGAACTTAGTGATGAAACAGTCTTAATTATGTGTATAATTAATGAAGTTATATTGTTGTGGAAAACATTTGTCATTACAGTCTTTCAAAGATCTGTCGATGAGGTTGGTATGATTAATTGGTTTGAGGGCGTGTTTCCGGTAATTCCTCTGTAGGCCACATACCATCGCTTTTGATGTCATGGAAATTTACAAAAATAACCCTGTGATGTAAACTATGTGATGATGTATCAAACTTATTTGTGTTTTCAGTCATCACTGTAATTATCAGGATTCCCTCCTTTTAATAGTCTTAAAAAGTTAGGCAAGTTTATTTATGTCGCAACAAAGTGATTTTTAAAGTGGCTCAAAAACGACATCAAAAGCATCGTGACAAAGGGAAAAACAGCCATTAAAATAAATAAGAATAAGAAATCACAGAATATTAAATATGAAAATATGTTTAAAAAATAATAATAATTTTTGCGTAATAAACAACGGACGAGGAGACGTTTTTCATCGTTTGATTTCATAAAATATTTAAACTTTTTGTGTTTCCGGAATAACTAGAGGAAAAAAAAAGGCAGGGTACGGAAATTAACAGGAAATTAAATCGACAACAGGAAAATAAATACGTAAAATATAAAATACCAAGACCAGAACAGTTTGTTTGGGGGAAGTCGGGGACGAACAGGATGAACGTAAAAGGTGACGTAAGACGCGTGACGCGTGACGCATTCACGCCCGACCATACATAAAGCGGGAGGACTTCGACTCTTTACTTCCGTTCACCAACCGACCTGCAATGTAGAACAAGTAAACGGGACTAAGCTAGCTATTTTTGAACCAACACAAGCTAGCATCAATTCGTTTTTGAGCTTAGTTTAATTCGGAAATTAAAGTAACTGTAAGCGTAATCTCAAACAAGGGATCACAATGGATATCATTAATATGAAGCGGGCGGCGGTCAGCGTATCTGCCGGAGTCATGAGCTTTATGATGCCACAAAATGGAGTCGGGAAGGGACAGATGCACTACGGCCCGGAAGCGTCCTCTCCACAAATAGCGATGGGATCCTCTTTAGCCTCACAAAATGGGAATGTCGGGTCGAATGAAACCACCAAGCGGCCCAAGGCTCTGGTTGTTAACTCGGGAAAGTATTTCCAGCGATAAAAGGGCTCCGGGAGGACAGCGACGATATCGAAGACGGCTCGCTGCCGTGCACCCCGGAGCCGGACAGTGAAACCGAAGTCTCCAGCTGTCCCACTGGGGGCGAAGTCCTGGAGAGCGACACCAGGCAACTCATCAGCGCCTTCCTCAGAGAGCATACTGGGCTTTCAAAGCCTGGTTGGAATGAGAGTAGTGCACTATCGACGATGAAAAGAGTCGTGGAGGACGTGCTGGCGAAACACAGATACGCGTATAATGGTGTGTATTCATGTGTGTGTGTGTGTGTGTGTGTGGAAATCCACAGCAAAGTTATAGCATGTAGCATTTTCAGCTACATGATATATTTAACTTAAGTAATGCTTACAGCAGACAACATGTTTGGACAAGAAGGAAGCATTTTAATTAAAAAAAAAAGCTGCACAATGATCATCAGAGTTATGTATGTGGCTGTTAGGTGTTTGTATACAGTTATATAAGAGTCTATAGGGCTGAAGGAGGAGAAATGCTAAGAAAAAGTGGGACTATTTTATACAGAAATGCTTTAAAAACGGTCACTTTCATATTAAACCCAGTTTTTTTTTTAATACTGTTTTTTTTTTGTATTCTACCACAATGTATTTGAGTTTATGTAACCTGGCCCTCCATTCACAAGACATTAAACAACAAAGCACATGATACAATCAAATTAAAGTAGCTGCAGGCGATCATCCCATTCATAGAAGATTTTTTTTAAAAAGAAGAGATTTCACTGTGTTGATATTTCTTCCACAAACAACTGGCTTTAAGGGTTTTATTAATATTTAGTTTAGATTCTCGTTTCTCTGCAGCTGAATCAGAAGAGTGCATTGTTGTTCCTCATTTAAGATTTGTATTGATTCATGTACAAACGAGGTAAGATTCCTGAGCCAAATCTTTTTTTTTTTGGTAGGTATGATCAACAAACTGTCACTGGAAGACAGAGGGGACGATGCAAGTTTTGTCAGCGCTGTGGCAAAGAGCCTTTTTGCGGATGGAACAACAAACTGGGGCAGGATCGCCAGCCTGGTCGCTTTTGGAGCGGCTGTGTCACAATACCTGAAGGAGAATGGCAGGGGGCACTGTGTGGAGCTGGTGGGGCAGGAGATCTCCACGTACCTGCTGTCTGACCACCGGGACTGGCTGGTCAAAAACAACGCCTGGGTAAGCTATGACTAAGAGCTGAATGACAGGATGTGGAAAAAAAAAAAGGGTTGCATAACTGCTCTCATTGTGCAACAAAGCCTACGTGTCAAGCGAGCACAAGCCTTTGACCTCCGAGTCTAATGTGTTGTTCCCATCATTTGTTTCAGGACGGCTTTGTCGAGTTCTTTCGAGTAGCAGACCCAGAGTCCACAGTGAGGACAACACTCATGGCTTTTGCTGGGTTCGCAGGAATTGGGGCCACGTTGGCCCTGTTGATCAGGTGAACTTATGGACACTCAGAGACTTAACACATTCTGGACTTGAGACAAAGGACACTGAAGCAGCGGCTCTTCCTCAGCTGTTCACCTTTTTTCATCTTGGACTCCCTCACACCCAGCCTAAGAATAAGACTTTTCAACTTCAACTGACTTTTCAGCAACAACAATTAGGGTTATTTAATTTACAAAGAAATTTATTTTTATAATAAATGTAAAATGTGTTTCCAGACAAATTGAAGTGGTTACTGGCAGTCAGATAACAGCATTTCTGCTTGATTGCTTTTTTGTTTTTTTTTATCACCAATCCCTTGTGCTGATGGTGTTGGTAAGGGCAGGGCAGGGCAGGAAGGTTGAAGCTGTCATGTAGTCATGAAGCCCTTTTCTTTTGAGCCCATTCATAACCCCTGGACCTTTTTTGTATGGACACCTCCACCATGTGAGAGGGGGAGGAGGAGAGGGGTTGATTTGCATGAGTGTAGCGCTACTTCCTTGTTATGAAAATGTTTGGATCTGCGCTAAGAGACGAAGGCAAACCACATGCAGGACTTATTTGCTCCGTCAGAAGGCTGGAAAGTTTGAGTCTGATGGAAGAAGTGAACAAGGACTGCGAGTCGAGTGGATGCAGATTGTGTTGGTCGCCTGCACCAAGGCTGACATCAGTATGTGGAAAATGGTTTTTCCTCTGAGAGAAGGGGAAGCGCACAATAGTTCAGATCCAGTTTTAAGCTACCAAATCTGTATGAAACAATAAAAAAAAAAAAAATCATTTGACCTTTCTGATATGGTCTTTCTGTTAGGAGTGCAAGGTCACATATGCACTCATCCTGGTTCTGTTGGTATAAAATGAATGACCTCGTTCTAAACTAACTTTAACACTGTTGCACATTTTGGCCTTTGATGTCTTTTCACACCACGCCCCCCCCAAAAGAGCCACAGCTGCAGTTTCCTAGAAATAAGCCGAAGCTGTGGCCGCGCCTCCACCACACTGAGCGGCTCAGCTGCATCCGCAGTTTCTTTGCGAGATGGGGTTTGTTATCTGCAAAGAGCTGGTGCAAAGCAGCAGAAGGGAGATTGTGAGACGAGGGTAAAAAACAGTTCACAACATCCTCACAAATGTCAAAACACTGTCTTCTTCCTTGGTAGGTTTTAGCTGCCGTCTGGTGAGGTAATCAACTATACTGGGTCCTTAACTGTTGATATGGTTTATTATGTGCAGTTAGGAAGGTTTTTAGATTGTTCTATCTGTGGGGTGTAACATTGTGTAAATAAACAGGAATATTTTTACACTTACTTTCCTCTAAGTCATTTAAACCCTAAAATCGAAGCCTAAACCATGTCAGGCCTCAGTCAGCGGAACCCCTGGTGATGCTGTGAAGCTGCACCCTTGTTTGTTCAGATCCTCCCGTCACCTCGGGTTACAGCGCAAACACAACACTCATCGAGGCCTTAGGAGGAAATGGAGTAGGGCTCCTCTCCATGGTGACGATTCACAGCAGACCTCCCCGTGTCCCTCCTGCTGCTAATGATGTTCTCCACCACCCAGGTTACTCCGGCACAGTTCATTGTGAAGAACATGCTGCTGCACTAGGGGGAATTGAAGCTGAGGCAATCCTCCTCAGCTGTTTGCACCATCCACTGGTGGATTGGGGGGTGCAGAAATCACAGAGGTGTCTTGGGGCTGAATATGCAAAATGCATTGGGCTCTGAACAACCTTGAAGTTGGGAGCTGGCTTATTAGAGCCATACATTATTGAAGTGTTCGTGCATACATTATTTTCTCCTTCACCTCGTGTGTTGGAAGTCTAAATGATGTAACTTAAAGATTGTTATGTGGGTTTATCAAACAAAGGAAGGGTCAGTATCCTGAGATATGCAAAGAACAAAACGATCATTTAGACTTCACTGCACAGGAGTGGATCCTCGTAACCACACAAATCTCTCAGATATGCATATCAAACTATAAACATTGAAATCTTATTAGCCACCCCAAAATCCTGGAATGTGTTGTAAATACACTATTCAAGCTGTGTTGCATCATGCAGCTCATAGTTTTCAGCCTGCAGAAGTTTGTTTGCAGTCTTTAAAACACTTTAAATTGTGACTGCACTTATATATTGTTTTTTTTTTTTATCCTTGAAGAATTAAGCTTAGAAGTTTATGATGACATTATCTTATTACTTAAAAGTCGATGTGATTGGTGCAGACAGAAGGGGTCAACGAATGCTCTTCATGTGCACATAAACTTCAGGCCACCCCTGCACAAGTCAGGGCCCCAGTTGGGCCCCCCCAGTCCAAAAGGTCTGGATGTGTCCCTGCCAATGGAAGAATGGGAATCTTGTCTGTGTAGGTCTCAGTCATCCAGATCATAGTAAATCCAAGCTTGATCCATTAGCGGGGAAAGAAACCTTTAAGAATCACCGCATAAAACAAGTAGTTTAAGTTTAAAAAGTACAAACAAGAGGATGAGAGCAAAAAGCCCAATCCAAGCTTGATCCAAAGGCAACTGGACTTGTGAAGATGTTTCACCTCTCCTCTGAAAGGCTTCTAACTCTAAACCAGCTGAAGAAGCCTTTCAGAGGAGAGGTGAAACATCTTCACAAGTCCAGTTGCCTTTGGATCAAGCTTGGATTGGGCTTTTTGCTCTCATCCTCTTGTTTGTACTTTAAACTTAAAACTTGTTTTATGCGGTGATTCTTAAAGGTTTCTTTCCCCGCTAACGACTAAATGTAGCGTACAGCAAGTAGGTTTGAAGTAGCATCCATCCATCTCCAAGCTTCCTCCAGCAAGTTCCCACTTTAGGGACTAACATTTAATTTAGATTTTAGATAAATAACTCCTTGTTTCAACTTTGTTAATGATTAAAATAAGCAGGAAGAGCGTGTTTAAAAAATGAGTTCCGCTTGCTTACAGCTGAGAAGAAAACATGCAGTAAAAATGGAGAATTCCTGAAACCTAACCATGGGTGCTTTATTAAATGAAAGAAAAAGTCAACTTGCAGATATGCTTAGACCCCTCAAAGTAATCTTCTCCCGTTTGGCCCTCAGTAATGTGCCTCAAACTGAAACTAAAACCGGCACAAGGAGCCGTAAACAAAGCGGTTAAACTGTAGATCATTTCATCAGGGTTGGGTTCCCCTCGGTGCGGTGTTCACTTATCTTTCACAGCAACAGGAACGGTTCAGTGAAGAAGCTGTGGGAAAGAAAGAGAACTTTATTTTGAAATCATTTCTTTGGTCATCTCATGGAGAAGTGAACTCGGATCTTTCCAGGATAACAAAACAAAAAACAGAACCAGTCTTACATTTTTAAAATAGTCGACTTCTATGACATAGCTTTGCAACAACCGACTTAAGGCCCGATCGCACAAAGGTGCTCGCTCTAGGTGCGGCCGCTCCAAAAACTCCCAAAACAGGACTTTAGCACATCTGGGTGAACAAACAGCTGGGAGCACCTGGGGATCAGGGCTGTGAATACGAGGCAAACCAAAACATAAGTGTGGAAGAAATGGAATCGAGAAAACGTAGCGCTCTCCCCGCTCCTCTGTTCCTCGGCGAAGAGGGAAAGCCGACGTGGTTTGATTGCAGGGCTTCGGCTGAAAGTGACATTGACGAGAGCTGAAAGGTTGAACATTTATTAACTTTAATGCACGCCACAAAAAAAAAAAACGCTTTAAAAAAATAGAGCCTCCGAGCAGCAGAGAAGAGAAGAGCGCCAAGCAAGCACGTTGTACCAGAGGAAAACTGTGGTGATGCGTCTCTGTGTGATCGGGCCTGTATGCTGCTTTCACACGTTTCAGGCAAACTGCTTCTGAAATCTTCCCGAGTTGCTTGTTCACACATGTCCCTCACAGCAGGAGACTTTCCCTGATGGACAGCAGAAAGGGGGCGGGGTCTCAGGAGGCAAGGCGTGATGTAGAAAGCATGGCGGCGGGCAAACCAACAAAGTCTGATATATGACACTACAATGAGAATATTTGCCTTTATATCAATGCTACGTGTAGTTTGAGACATTCACGATATCAACAGAACACTGAAGCTGCTTCATGACGTGCACAGGGATCACACCGGTGGCTTGCAGACAGTCACAGAATTGAAATGCCATCACCTCCTCCCATTCGCTCGTGGTGAATTTTCCTGAATCTTTCCTGCTGCGTTCTCACATCAGCTCATTCCCGACTTAACGCGGAAAATGTAGCATGGAGTCTGGCAGGAAAAACTCGGGGCAAAGTCGGAGTGGAAAATTCAGCTGTTTACGTTCACATATGCAGCTCAGCCTGAAAATTTGAGATTTGTGCAAGCAGCTTTACATTCATCAAATCCAGGCCCTGTGATCTCTTAACTTATTCCTGCAGCAACACACACACACACACACACACACACACACACACACACAGGTCTACAGCAGGCACCCTTGCACAGACCCATGCACAAAGCAGCTGGGAGATGTCTTGAGGCTGCATTTTCTGTTAAAAGCAGTCTCAAAACGTCTGAACAGATTTAAGCATGCAAACCCTTCAGTGTTGAATAAATGTGTCAAATGTAGCAGTGTGAGCTCTGCAGAGCAGTAAACTGGAGAGCTTTCAGAAACCCTCGGGCAGGTATCGCATTCCTATCATGGGAGTGTTTTTAAGGAGCGGTTTTAAAAGTATTGTCAGCAAACATACTTTACATTCAGATACTGTGTGGGCAGTATTGATTATATCGCTGCTTAATCACTGCCCAACCCAGAAGAAAACAAGTATGAATCAGGACCCGGTGTTAGCTTAGCATGCTAACCCATGTTTAGTTTTTGTGCATGCAGCTCCCAGCTCTCTGCAGACTTCCTGTTGGCTCCAACAAGGAAGTCTGTTTAGTTACAAAACTTGCAAAAACCATGCAGAGAAAACTTTTCAGACTCCTTTAAGATCTGGGCTAACCCCATTTCACCACATTTTGTTGCTCAAAGCTTTCTACATCGCGAAGCTTCCCACATAGAACCAGTCTGCTGCAGTTGACTTCACAGTTTGGTAACTTGAGCTTAGAGGAACGGCCTTTTTCACACAGTCATCGTTATTGGCTGTAAGCCTCTACTTCCTCGTGGCAACAGACCGCCCCTTTATTTTAAAAAAAGCAACAGTTTCTGGGAAGTCAGCTGACGCACAAGTTTATCTTTAACAGGCGTACTCATCTACACTATTACTGGTTAGAAAGCTGCGAATACTTAGAATTCTGACCCTGAGCTGCAAAGATAGGCCATGTCTCTGCAGTTAGAAGTAACTCTGTGTTACATGTCGGCCGAGTTTGTTTGAGTAAATGCTTTCATGTCTTACAGGAAGTAACTAGAAACTACCACAAAACAAGAACTCAAAGAGGCTCTGAAACCTCTGCAGGAGCTTCAAAAAGAGTATTTATCTGAATCCTGGCCTGCAGTCTTTGCTCTCTTAGTTGGACACACAGATCTTTATATACATAGGCAGAGAGCCCTGCGGGTGTCTACTTTCCCCTGTAAGAAAATCATCAGTCTGCACGTTGCAGAGCTGACCTCTAAATAGGAATGTAAATCCTGTTTTTCGAGCAGCTTTGTCTCTCTGTTTGATTCCACTTCCTATATCCGCACTAAACTTCTCAGAGATCAATTTTTACTCAATTTAGATCTAAACTAGCACACTAAACTAGCATGTAACCTCTCCAGTGTAGCCACTCAGCCACGACATATAGTCGTCATGGTAACAATTGAAAATTTGGGGTAAAGGTAGCCTAGTGGTTAGTGTGCATGCCCCATGTACAGCTGCATAGACCTCAGAGCGAGCGGTCCAGATTCGAATCCGACCTGTGGCTCATATCCTGCCTGTCGTTATATATATATTTGCATATGCAGTCTCTCTGGCTACAAAACTCTGCAAACATTTAGTTACAGCGGCTGTTTTTAATAACACACAAGGCCTCCTCTCATTATCTATAAACGGATGTCAGCACATTCGGATGCATCCCTGTTTGCTTTCCCTGGAATTGAATACAGATGATATTTGCATGCATCTGTAAAAATAACCATAATCAAAACAGAAAAAAAGGAGCACACTCAAACAGAAATAAAACTTCAGGTGCACGAGCGCAAAAAGAAAACAGATGACAAACAAAGCGCTGATAAAGGCTCTGTGCTGAAACGCGTCCGTTGTTGATCCGTACGCTGCTACCCTGACAAAATGATCCCTTTAATTTACCCCTTTATGAATTCACAATGAACAAAAAGTCCCAAACAAACGAAATATGCAATATGATCTTTGAAAGTTCAGTTCAAATTGTCTTTTTAGTC